AAAAAACTAAGCTTTTGATTTGGTTTTTTGGCCTTTAACACATTTTCAATTAATTATAGTCCAACAAAGCCAAAACAATATCCATTTTCATAGAACATTTCTGACTTTGAGAATAATGGCACGAGCTCATCACAAAATCTAACATTCAGTACCGGCTAATAAATTTTCAGAAACATGGTAGGCGGTGAAGAAACCATACAAGCTGCACTAAAAGGGTACCTCAGTTATATTGATAAGGAGGCTTTTCAAGATGTCAGCGATACTGGGTTTAAGTATAGCGGTGAGAAAAATTTGGAGGCATATGCGAACGTAAGCTCTTCGACGCTTTTGCATGATAAAAGTGTGCCAAAATTTGCAAATTATCTTTTAGTTGGTCAATCCGAAAACAACACAAATTGGTTGCGCAATAGAGAAATGTCCGGATGACTACTACTACTCAGTGTATTGCATCACCAATCAAAAGTGAGTTCTCTGTTCATTATTCAGTACTTTAATTCGAATACTTTGAGTGTGTCAATACTCATTAGTTTTCGTAATTCTTAGAAGAAAAATAAATTATAGAAAGATTTCGGAGACAAAATTTATACACCAAAATTAGAGAAACCAGTTCGCTACTTGTTTCTTGATACCCTCAACTTATGCTAGAGAAGCGTTACTTGTTTCGCACTTACTTTGAAAACTTCGACTAAATTTGAGCTTGTCTTCCCTGCATTTTATATTACAATGGTAGATTGTCTAGCAGATCGATTTAGACTTATATCATGAGGTTTGTTAAGGTATAGGTCTAATTTTTTGGCCTTAAATCAAGTAAGTCAAATTCTGACTCAATGCAATGCGTTTTTGAATGCACAGTACGGTTGCTTACAATGAAGCGATGTAGATTTACTCTAGAAGTTCAAAGTAATTTGCACTTTTTGATTGTCATATGCACGAAAAACTTTTCAGCCTTGTTTTCACCTTCAATTAAGTTATTGACACGGAAAGTTTAAACAGATAATCTTGAACAGAAGGAGGAAGGGGAGACAGGGGAGGAGGGAAAGGAGATAGGATATGCATACAAAATATGGTTAAAAGCAGTGACAGAGAAAATCATCACTTTTGAATTGTTACATACTATAGTCGGCTTTATCCGCGAAACCCAAATACTTTTTCTGCGCCACCAGGCCAAAGGATTCCTTTGAAGTAAGTCAGTGTTGACTCTCACGCCAGCACTTCTATCAACTTGAGTAGCAGACGAAGCATGCTGAGTCTCGAAACATCGAAATCGCACCATTGCGCTCTTACCCCAGAGAGCATGAAAATCTCTGTTTTCTATTTTTAAGAGCGATTTTACATGCAATGAAGCTCGTTTTTGTGTTCTAGACATCGAAGTCATACAGAAATTGCAAATAAACTCAAAGTTAATAATTTACTTGAACACTGCCTTTAAGCACATTCTGTCGAGATGGCAGAGATGCAGTGGTTGA